GACGGCTTCGCCAAGGCGGAGGGGCACGGCGAGGAGCAGGAGCAGGGAGACTGCGCCGGTAACGCGCGCGGAGCAGCGTCGCACCCCAGTGGCCTTGACCGCCACGGCAACTTGGGACGATCGCCGCCAGCGCGTGACCACCAGCGCAACCACCACAACCATCTTAACCACCACGACCGTCATGACCACCACCGCAACTACCACAACCATCTTAACCACCACACCGTCGTGACCACCACCGCAACCACCACAACCGTCGTAACCACCACCAGGACTACCACAACCGTAACCACCACCGCAACTACCACAACCGTCGTGACCACCACCGCAACTACCACAACCGCAACTACCACCACTGCAACTACCACAACCGTCGTGACCACCACTGCAATTACCACAACCGTTGTAACCACCACCGCAACCACCACAATCGTCGTGACCACCACCGCAACCACCACCGCAACCACCACGACCGTCGTTACCACCACGCGGGTTTAAATTGTTTGCTCGGTCACGTCTTGATGTCATGGGGTATGTTGATGACATTTATGTGCACCGCATAGCGCTAAGTGGTGGGGGGGGGGAGAGATACAATGGCCACGTTGCGATGGTCACGGCTTGACTGTTCCCCACGTCGCGTGCTTTCCCTCGCCCCCCCAGGCGAGGCTTCCAGCCACTGTCCCCGCGACGTCAACGTCAACCACTCGGACCACCAGCAGCAGCTGCAGCTGCAGCAGCACCTCTTCCCCGGCGTGCGCTTCCCGCACAAGCTGCTCAACCACCACTACGCGTGCATCGACGGCGCCGACCCCTCCGCCTCGCTGCAGCACCGCTCCCTCCCGTGCGGCGACGGCGCGGGCGACGGTGCGGGCGACGACGGGCCGGCGGCGGCGGCGTCTTCGTCGCCCTCCGCCGCTCCCGCTGACCTCGACGGGAGCGGCGGCGGCGGGCTGCTGTGGCCGGCGCTCGACGACTACGGGAAGGTGTACCAGTGCGACGACTGCGGCAAGGGCTTCCTCAACCGCAGCTACCTGTACGTGCACCGGCGCAAGCACACGGGCGAGCGCCCCTACGCCTGCGACGTGTGCGGGCGCCGCTTCTCGGTCACGTACAACCTGGCGCGGCACAAGAAGACGCACACGGGCGAGAAGCCGTTCGTGTGCCGGGAGTGCGGCCTGGCGTTCCGCCTCAAGCACCACCTGCTGCGGCACGAGAAGAAGCACTCGCTGGCGCTGGACGGGGAGGCGATGGGGCCCGACGGGATGGCGATGGGAGCCGACGGGATGGCGATGGGAGCCGACGGGATGGCGATGGGAGCCGACGGGGCGGCGATGGACGGGGCGGAGATGGGACCCGATGGGGCGGCGCTGGGCGGGGCGGTGCTGGGCCCCGACGGAGTGGCGCTGGGCGGGGGGGCGATGGGCGGGGGGGCGATGGGCGGGGGGGCGGCGTCGGCGGGGGAGGCCGGCGAGGGAACGGTGGAGGCCACGCAGGCGATGATGTACGACGTGCCTCACCTCCACCCCACTGGCTGATGGTAGCGCCCCATGACGCCACCGCCATCGCCTAGGAGGTGGCCTGCGATTGGGGGGTGGGGTGTGTGGTTGTGACCAAGACCAGGGTTGGTGGTAGCACAGGGTGGTTGGTATTGGGGGTATCGCACGGTGGTGGTGGTGGTGGTATTGGCGATGCCAGACGCAGCCATGCGGAATGTCTACGCGCGTGTGTGTGTGTGTGCGCGTGTGTGTGTGTGCATGTGCGTGCGTGTGTGCGCGTGTGTACGTGTGTGCGTGTGTGTGCGTGCGCGTGTGTGTGTGCGTGTGTGCGTGTGTGTGTGTGTGCGTGCGTGCGTGTGTGCGCGCGCCTGGGGAGCGGTGGTATAGCGGTTAGCACGCTGTGCTGGTAGCCCGGCGACCCGGGTTCGATTCCTGCTCACAACCAACACCAGTGATGATTACCTGAACTGGTTCTGGGTCTCCCCTAGGTCGACTCAGCCTCAAATGAGTACCTGGTGTGTGAACATCGCCACTGGGGAGACAAAGGCGGCCGGGCGTGGTGCTGGCCACCCACCCCCCTCGTGTGCCGTGCCGGCCTTCATAGAGTGCTCGCTAACAGCACTTGTCCTAACAGTATGTTAAGGCTATACGGGGGATCATTGTATTTTTGTTGTGTGCGTGCAGAGGCTGAGCTGCTCGGTGTAAATCGTCTATCCTGGCTTTGTCGATTATTGTTGCGACATACACCCTCCCCCCCCCGCTCCTCCCCCCTCGTGGTACTAACTCGGCATGTAACGAACACGTTCCTTCGGAGTGGGAAGGTAGGAACTTGGTTGGACGGCGCATTCGTGCGATCCGTGTCACGCGGCGCAAGCTGGGTGGGGCGGCGCGTCACGTGGTGCCGAGCCCGCCCGAAGCGCTCTCTATGAAATACAAATCGAAGGCGTGGCTCTGCACCACGACAGACAGACAAATAATCCCTGGTGGGTAGTGTGGAACGGATGCTCCTACCTGTATCATGGAGACCCTCTCTCTCTCCCATTACGATTCAGTCGGCCGACACGGTTCGGAGAGGGGTGGCGGTAGCAGCGGGGCGGGGGGGGGAGATGGTCACATGACTCGAAGCTGAGAATTTTCGGGGTTTGTTTTCTTTCCCCCCACACCCCCCCCACCCCCCCACCCCACGCGCGAAATGTGTTAACAGCTCCACTGGCTGGCAGGGGTCACGTGAATCCAGTTGTGTGTAAGGCATTTTACATATCGATCATGAACGGACGGTCACATTTCCCCCCCCTCCTCAAATTGTCGACGCGTTTATCACGAGCGTAGGAACAGCTCTGTGTTATGGCTACATGCGCCTCTCTCACGTGTTACCCGCCCTGACCGCTAGGCGCAGCAGCGGCGATGATGGTGGTGCTGTGTCGTGGTTTTATTTCTGCGATGCTCCCGAAACGCGTTTGTAAGAAAGGCAGGACGGCGTCGGAGTGTTTTTAAATGTATTCCGCATTTTATTACAAACGGCAGCGTTCGCGGCTCGGCAATTTTGTGATTAAAAAAAAAAGTATTATCTACCTCCTGCGCCCTTCAGTTTTTACACCTTGTGGCAAGAGGGTGGGGGGAGAGCCACCCACACTTCTCCACCCCGAGCAAGCCATCGCCCAAGGGCAAGGGGGGAGCATCTCGGCACACCAGCTAATACCTTTGCCCGCTGGCACGTCCGAGAGAAACGGTGCGGGAAAGTCCGGGCGTGGTTTTTCCCATCGGCCGCAGGAACGCAAGCGGTGATTTACGCTGACTTCACACAAGACGTCTGAATCTGGCTCGGTGCGGGGGGTGGGGGGCAAGGCTGATACGTAAATTTTCCCCTTGGGTACACTGCACTGAGGGCACGGTGTCTCCTCCAAGATTTGTCCGAGACAGCGTCCGCTTTGCATCCCGACTCGTTCTTTGCGCGTGGCGTGCACGGCACGGCACCGCTCCTGCCGTGGAACCGCAACGTTGCGTCTTCCCTGGCCCAGCATAACCCACCCACAACCCACCCACAACCCACCCACAACCCACCCACAACCCACCCACAACCCACCCACAACCCACCCACAACCCACCCACAACCCACCCCCGACGCAGCTCCATTGTGCAAGTGTAACATCTTCGCAATAACGACATCTTCGGAATAATCGCCGTCGCCGCTCGTCATCCGAAGAACGAGTGTGTAAGCGTATTCCGCCCAGGCCCCATCGTTCCAAGTCGCTGCCCGCGGCCACCGTCAGTCAGTGTATCGAGTGAGTCTTCTTGTGCCGGTCCAGGTGGTACTTGCGCCCGAAGGTCATGCCACACTCCTCGCAAACGAAGGGCTTCTCCCCGGAGTGGATGCGGCGGTGCTGGTTGAGGTTGTGGATGAGCGAAAATCTCTTCCCGCACTCGCCGCAAATGTACGGCTTCTGCTCGCTGTGCCGGCTTTGCCTGTGGCGGCAAAGCTTGCTGGGCGTGCGGAAGCTCATGCCGCAGTCGGGACACACGCGGGGACTATTGCCGCCGCCGTGCGCCAGCTGTTCGTCCGTGACGACTACGACGTCGTCGTCGTACACGTGCGTGTACGCAGCCCGGCACGCCAGCCCCTCGCACTCCACGTCGCTCCTAACGAAGCGTTCCGCTGGGAGCTGCCGCTGCTGCTGCTGCTGCTGCGGCTGCCCCCTGGACCGCTCGTTGGTGTGATCGAGTCTAGGTGCGGCGGTCACGTCGGCTGTTTGCCAGCTGCATGGCGGTGGCGGCGGCGGGCTGTGCTGCTGGGCGTAAGCGCCGTCGCTCCCGTGACCTGTGGGGATGAGAGTGGAGACGTCACCGTCCTGTGCGGCAGTCGGTGTGTTCGTCCCCGCCCCCCACCGCCCCACCGCCCTACCACCGCACCACCCCACTACGCCGTAACCGGTGGCCCCACAAACGGACGGGTCGACTTGTGGTCACGGGGAGGGGGGGGGGGGGGATTTAAGTTTCGAATTAATTGAATTGTAATAGATTCACGGCGGCGTTGCGATCGAAAACCGACAAAAAATTGAATGAAATAAAAGCACTTTGCAGCAAGTAAAAAAATAAAATAACGCCGTGTGAGACCCGCGGCCCGGCGAGGTGCGGCATGAGCACCAGCACCCTCCTCCCGCACCACCGGCTGTTCATTCCCTCATTTTCTCAGGAAGACAAAGTTGCGTCCGGTCGCAGGGTCTGGCCCGTTCCTTCAAGCGGACGGGGTCTGATGGCGCAACTCGGGAAGGTCACCTTTCCACTGTCATCGTCCGTAGCGATCGGAGGATACTTTTAATTTTTCAGCAGCTGCCACGTTTTCGCCAACGCTCTGCACGCACTCTCGCCGTGCAACTCCAGTCCTGTCCACCGTCACCCCGGCCCGGGCTGGGCTTCCCCTACAGCCCGCGCTCGCTCCTCCCGCGACTCAATCTTCTCGTGGCGACGGCGCAGACGCCGCGCGCTCCCGGCGTCGGTCCGCAACTTCCTTCGTGGCGGCCGCCGCCGCCGTTTGAACAAACACGGAGCCAGCTTGGCAGGGCCCATCATCGCGTGGCCGAGTCTCGGCGTAGCGTGTCGGGGCCCCCCCGTCAGTACTTGACGCAGGTCCTGCGGTGACGCGCGAGGTTGAACGAGCGCGTGAAGCGACGGCCGCACTCGGTGCACACGAAGGGCCGCTCCCCCGTGTGGATCCTGCGGTGAATGCGCAGGTCTGACGAGCGCAGGAAGCTGCGGCCGCACTCCTCGCAGGCGAACGGCTTCACCGTGCCGTGCGTCATCTCGTGCCGCCGCAGGTAGCGCTCGCTGCTGAAGCGCTGCCCGCACTTCTTGCAGAACATCGTCGCGACGCTCGCCTCGGGCGCCGCCGACGCCGATGACGACGACGAGGCGGGCCAGGGCGCGGCGGGGGGCGAATGGTGGCGGCCCCCGCGTGCCAGCGAGCCGCCCGGGCCTTGCGCCGTCACCGCCACGCGCCCAGCGACCCCGCCGCCGCCGCCGCCCCCGCCGTGGTCCTCACCTTCTGAACTTTCCAACTTCGGCAGCGGAGGGTGGAAATTTCCCGGCCACCTATCGGGCGGTTCGTGAGCCCGCTCGGCCCAGCTGGCGGCGCCGCGTTCGAGGCTCCCCCAGCGGGGCGCTCGGCCCGGAGTCGCTCCTCCTCCTCTGTCGTCGTTGTCGTCGATGTCGTCGTCGTCGTTCTCGTCGTAGTCGTCGTCTTGCGTCTCCACCGCCCCCTGGCAGAAGGCGCTGGCTTCGTCCAGCTCGCATGCCAGGCTGCCCTCGGCGGCGCCGGACTTCTCCCCTGTACGGGACAAGGCAGACAACATGTCGGTGAGCGCCGGAACGCGAGGGGCGTCGCTCGAACACCGAGCTTCTCCACTATGGGAACCTCATTTGCCAGTAAAAATATGGCAAATGAGGTTCCTATAGTGTAGATGCTTCCCCCGAGCTCTCATACTCTTGATGGTGCATTGTCTTTGAGTTGCGCGCCTTTTGGCGTCATCTGGTCCAACACCATGTGAGACTAGGCTCTAAGGAAAGCTGTCTCGGGTGTGGACCAATCAACTTCAAGGACAGTGCATACATTATCAGAGTTATGTCTTTTGTTTGTATTATGACTGCAGGTATTGTGGTCTATGCAAACATGACTCCTTGTAAAAAAGGTGTCAGTTTTGTTGCCAGATAAAAGGGTAAAAAAACAATTATCACCGAGCTTCTCATTACCCAACGCATACGTCCGACTCATCTGCCTGCCGTCCGCACGACGTCTTGACAACCTGCCACTTCCTTTCTCCATATCCACTTCTTGGTTCTTTCGGTAAAGTCACGTAGAAGGGAAATAATAAAATAATATTTCATTTATATGTAATATTATTTTATTCTTTTATTATTTCCATTCTACTAATAATATTTCATATTTATATGTAATATAATATAATAATATTTCATATTTATATGTAATATAATATAATAATATTTCATATTTATATGTAATATTATTTTATTATTTTAGCATTTCCATTCTACGTGACTTTACCGAAAGAAGCAAGAAGATGAATGGAAATAATAAAATAATAAAATTTTACATAATAAAATAATTCTCACGACGTTTCGATTTAAAGCTTTCGTGACTGCAGGGATTCATCTTCTTGGTTCTTTCGGTAAAGTCACGTAGAAGGGAAGTAATAAAATAATAAAAATCAAACATAATAAAATACAATTCTCACGACGTTTCGGCCACAACGCAAGCAGCCGTCCTCAGGTGAAGAACAGGTCTGTCGGTAAACTCACGTAGAAGGGAAATAATAAAATAATAAAAATAAACATTCTAAAATACAATTCTCACGACGTTTCGGCCACAACGCAAGCAGCCGTCCTCAGGTGAAGAACAGGTCTGTCGCTAAGACAGCGTCTGAATGAAACACCACCAGACTTGGAGCGTCTATTTAAGCTGCTGAGACTCATCATCGGTGCGTCTTCATCGGAGCCTGCCCCTGCCTGCCTGCCTGCCTGCCTGCCTGCCTGCCTGCCTGCCTGCCTGCCTGCCTGCCTGCCTGCCTGCCTGCCTGCCTGCCTGCCTGCCTGCCTGCCTGCCTGCCTGCCTGCCTGCCTGCCTGCCTGCCTGCCTGCCTGCCTGCCTGCCTGCCTCGGCGAGTGCGATTCTCCCCACTGCGGCGTTGCGTTCCGCTCACTTACCCCAAACTCCGTACACCCCTCATCCTTCCCTCGCCTACAAATTCCATACGTTCCCAAAATGCAGCCGCCAGACTGACCCAACCCCGGGCACATGTAAACATTGAGTCCATCTCCCCAACACTCCGATCCCTCCGCTGACTCGCACAATCACAACGGCGTGCCGAATCGGCTGTGAAAAAATTAACCCGTAAAAACAAAGTTTTTCACTATAAATCCTTTATATGTGTGGCGTCGGTTTTATTTTATTATTCATTTCTGTTTTACTTGAGTAAGAGTTAAATTTTTATCACATTGGTATTTTAAATGAAATATGACAATTTTTTTTTTCCAAAAAAGTGGAAAATTTAGGATTTTTTTTTCACGAATATTAATTGTCACGCACAACGAGTCTGTGTGGGAAATGTCAGCTCGATTGGATCACGGGAAGTGGATTAAAAAACGACCGAAAGATTTGCACGGTCGTAAGCGCGCAAGCAAGCAAGCAAGTGAACTTAATATAAAGGATTTAAAAAGAGCTACATAGCTCAGCGGATTCCTTCAGCCTAAATAAAGATAAAAATAATAAAAATAAAACATTAAAAAATGTCTTCCCGACAGACCTGGTCTTCACCTGAGGACGGCTGCTTGCGTTGTGGCCGAAACGTCGTGAGAATTATTTTATTATGTTTTATTTTTATTATTTTATTATTTCCCTTCTACGTGACTTTACCGAAAGAACCAAGAAGATGAATCCCTGCAGTCACGAAAGCTTTAAATCGAAATTCAGCCGAGGTAGTTAACATCTCACCACCGTGGCCAACCATGGCCTCGTGCCGGGGGTGGGGGGCGGGGGGCGGGGAGGGGGGAGGGCGGGGGGCGGGGAGGGAGGGGGTGGGCGGGGAGGGAGGTTGGGGGGGCACCTTCATGGAGCGGTTCGGTCTTCACACTCGCCGCTCTCCAAGCGTCCGCCGCCCCCGCCGCGTCGTCAGCTTCGGCCTCGCCAGCTCCGCCCGCGGACGGTCCCACCGCGGCCACGTCTGCAACGGCACCGCCGCAGAACACGGGGAGATCACACAAACTCCACTCACTCTGTAGAACAGGGGGAGATCACACAAACTCCACTCACTCTGTAGAACAGGGGGAGATCACACAAACTACACTCACTCTGTAGAACAGGGGGAGATCATACAAACTCCACTCACTCTGTAGAACAGGGGGAGATCATACAAACTCCACTCACTCTGTAGAACAGGGGGAGATCATACAAACTCCACTCACACACTATGCAGAACAGGGGGAGATCACACAAACTCCACTCACTCTGTAGAACAGGGGGAGATCATACAAACTCCACTCACTCTGTAGAACAGGGGGAGATCACACAAACTCCACTCACTCACTCTGTAGAACAGGGGGAGATCACACAAACTCCACTCACTCACTCTGTAGAACAGGGGGAGATCACACAAACTCCACTCACTCACTCTGTAGAACAGGGGGAGATCACACAAACTCCACTCACTCACTCTGCAGAACAGGGGGAGATCACACAAACTCCACTCACTCACTCTGTAGAACAGGGGGAGATCACACAAACTCCACTCACTCACTCTGTAGAACAGGGGGAGATCACACAAACTCCACTCACTCACTCTGTAGAACAGGGGGAGATCACACAAACTCCACTCACTCACTCTGTAGAACAGGGGGAGATCACACAAACTCCACTCACTCACTCTGCAGAACAGGGGGAGATCACACAAACTCCACTCACTCACTCTGTAGAACAGGGGGAGATCATACAAACTACACTCACTCTGTAGAACAGGGGGAGATCACACAAACTCCACTCACTCACTCTGTAGAACAGGGGGAGATCATACAAACTACACTCACTCTGTAGAACAGGGGGAGATCACACAAACTCCACTCACTCACTCTGTAGAACAGGGGGAGATCATACAAACTCCACTCACTCTGCAGAGCAGGGGGAGATCATACAAACTCCACTCACTCACTTTGCAGAACAGGGGGAGATCATACAAACTCCACTCACTCTCACTCTGTAGAACAGGGGGAGATCATACAAACTCCACTCACTCACTCTCACTCTGTAGAACAGGGGGAGATCGCACAAACTCCACTCACTCACTCTCACTCTGTAGAACAGGGGGAGATCACACAAACTCCACTCACTCACTTTGCAGAACAGGGGGAGATCATACAAACTCCACTCACTCACTCTCACTCTGTAGAACAGGGGGAGATCGCACAAACTCCACTCACTCACTCTCACTCTGTAGAACAGGGGGAGATCATACAAACTCCACTCACTCACTCTCACTCTGCAGAACAGGGGGAGATCATACAAACTCCACTCACTCACTCTCACTCTGTAGAACAGGGGGAGATCACACAAACTCCACTCACTCACTCTCACTCTGTAGAACAGGGGGAGATCAGACAAACTCCACTCACTCACTCTGCAGAACAGGGGGAGATCACACAAACTCCACTCACTCACTCTGTAGAACAGGGGGAGATCATACAAACTCCACTCACTCTGCAGAACAGGGGGAGATCACACAAACTCCACTCACTCACTCTGCAGAACAGGGGGAGATCATACAAACTCCACTCACTCACTCTGTAGAACAGGGGGAGATCATACAAACTCCACTCACTCACTCTCACTCTGTAGAACAGGGGGAGATCACACAAACTCCACTCACTCACTCTCACTCTGTAGAACAGGGGGAGATCACACAAACTCCACTCACTCACTCTGCAGAACAGGGGGAGATCACACAAACTCCACTCACTCACTCTGTAGAACAGGGGGAGATCATACAAACTCCACTCACTCTGCAGAACAGGGGGAGATCACACAAACTCCACTCACTCACTCTGCAGAACAGGGGGAGATCATACAAACTCCACTCACTCACTCACTCTGTAGAACAGGGGGAGATCATACAAACTCCACTCACTCTGTAGGACAGGGGGAGATCATACAAACTTCACTCACTCTGTAGAACAGGGGGAGATCGTACAAACTCCACTCACTCACTCTGTAGAACAGGGGGAGATCACACAAACTTCACTCACTCTGCAGAACAGGGGGAGATCGTACAAACTCCACTCACTCACTCTGTAGAACAGGGGGGAGATCATACAAACTCTACTCACTCACACTCTGCAGAACAGGGGGAGATCACACAAACTCCACTCACTCACTCTGCAGAACAGGGGGAGATCATACAAACTCCACTCACTCTGCAGAACAGGGGGAGATCATACAAACTCCACTCACTCACTCTGTAGAACAGGGGGAGATCACATAAACTCCACTCACTCACTCTGCAGAACAGGGGGAGATCACACAAACTCCACTCACTCTGTAGGACAGGGGGAGATCACACAAACTCCACTCACTCTGTAGGACAGGGGGAGATCACACAAACTCCACTCACTCACTCTGTAGAACAGGGGGAGATCACACAAACTAAACTCACTCTGCAGAACAGGGGGAGCTCATACAAACTCCACTCACTCACTCTGCAGAACGGGAGGGAGATCACACAAACTCCACTCACTCTGCAGAATGGGAGGCAGATCATACAAACTCCACTCACTCACTCTCACTCTGCAGAACAGGGGGAGATTATACAAACTCCACGAAGAAAGGCTCCGAGGCACAGGCGTTGCCACCAAGTCTGTGAACACCAGCGCCCGCTGACACGGGAATGACATTCGGGTTCCATCCCATCGTCCTATTCCGTCACAACTAAGATTGAGTGCGGCGTGCACGGGGAAAATTGAATTTAAATTTTTGTATTTTACCTGGTAAGGCCCACTGCTATCTCGCTCTTTTTCAGAAGTGGCCTGGCCACAAATGAAAACTCAGCGAAGTGGCTTATCGCGTGGAAATTTTTAGCTGCCAAACAACTCTAAACGCGTGACGTCGATTCTAAGTGCGGAGGGGGAAACCGGAGGACCCGGAGAAAAATCCACGCGACCACAGGGAGAGAGAGAAACACGCAAACTACAAATATACAGCAGCAGGCGTCAGGGTCGGGATCGAACCCACCACCTCCTGTACACCAGGCGAGGTAGTCAACATCTCCTAGCCACCGTGATGATGATGAGAGAGAGAGACACGCAAACTCCAAATATACAGCAGGCGTCAGGGTCGGGATCGAACCCACGACCTCCTGTATACCAGGCGAGGTAGTTAACATCTCCTAGCCACCGTGATGATGATGAGAGAGAGAAAGACACGCAAACTCCAAATATACAGCAGCAGGCGTCAGGGGTCAGGATCGAACCCACGACCTCCTGCATACCAGGCGAGGTAGTCAACATCCCGCCACCGTGGGGCGGCCGCCAGTAAAAGCTGCGTAGGCCGGTTCACTCACGGGGATCGGGCGGCTGGAGGGCGCCGTCGTGAAGGCTCGCGGAGCTGACCCCGCGTGACCACCGCACCACCGCCGCCGCCGTGCCGTCGGGGGCCAAGCCGTCCTCGTCCATGTCCAGGGCCGAGGCGTCCGCCCCGTCCTCCCCGTAGCCGTCGGCGTCTGGTGCACCGCGGACCGCAACGGGAACGCAATCTCGCTGCGGCGCCGGACGCAACGGCGCTCCGTGGCGACAGCGATGCGGAAGAGGGATATATACGTAATAAGAGCCTATGTCAGATTCACGTGGTGATCGGCTTGGTCGGTCACGCTTTACAGCCAATGGGGGAAGAGCCTGGGAGCATGGCCCTGGCGTGATCACGGGATGTCAGCCAGCTGATTGGTTGCGCTGGTCTTGGCCTCAGCCAATGGGAAGACAAGTCAGGGGCGTGCTCCCGGGAGCTGATGATGGGGGATCTGGAACATTCGGCGCAGGCTATTGAGGATTGGCTGGAGGGTACCACGTGACCCAGGCGTTAAATAAGGGGAGAGAGGAGAGACACGGGGTCAGACACGGAACTAAGAGAGGGAGAGGCCACGCGCGAGTGGGGCTCCGGGTGCCACGTGGTGGTGGGCCTCTGGTGACTGTCTGCCCGCTTCCCGTTGCCTGCCAGCAACGGGGAGTGTTTGTGAACTGCAAGAAGTGAAATAAAAGGACCGATTCCACAAACCGTCTCCAGCGTGTTATTACATATACGCGCCGGTGGTTGGGCTGGGCTGGGATTTTGGGTCACGTTGGGGTCAACGCGGTGCGGGGTTCGGTTATTAACTCGTTCGTAACCGCGTGTCGTGAACGCCCCCCGAAACCCGTATATACGGATTGGCGGCAGCAGTACGCGATCGCGCACGCGTCGCCGACGTTTACCGAACGGCACAACCGCGCGTATTCTGGTGGAACAAGCGGACTACCCCACTCGGAGGGAGGGGGGCGTCAGCCACACTAAAGCAGCAGCGCGTGGATTACTGCCGACAACGACGACGACGCACTCACAATCGGCCTTCGCCAAAACGTCATCATCCGACGCCTACGAAGCGGGAGTGTGACATATGCGGGGCGCGGCGATCTGTCACAGCTGCCCGGTGCCTCGTACCCTGCACGCTGTGCCCCGGCGAGGAAAGCCGCGTGTCCCGGTCGTCGTCGGCACCGCCGCCGCCGTGCCCGTAGAACGCCGCCGCGTCCAGCAGACGGAACCGCTCGGCCGAATGCGACAGCTCGCGGCTCAGGTTGCTCAGCATGCGGACGATGGTGTCGAGCAGCGAGCCCAGGAACGGGTGCAGCGCCAGCGCGTCCGGCGAGCCGTCGTGGTGACCTGCGCCGCAACCGCCGGCTCCTCCGCCGCAGCCGCCGGCGCCGCGCCCCACCTGCTCGGCCACGCGCCGGAGGGCGGCGTAGAAGGCGAAGGGCAGGCGCTCCTTGGCGGCGGCGAGGAGCTCGGCGCGCACGGGCGCCTGTGCGGCGCACGCCAGCAGCGCTTCGTAGTCGCCGATGCCGAGCTCGGCCTCGACCGCCTCCAGCACGCGGGCGCTCACGCCGTGCGCGCCCAGCCACGCCGGGAAGTCCTCGCGCGGGTCCAGCACCGCCTCCGCGCAGAGCGCCGCCATCGGCACGTGAGGGAGCGGCGCCTGCACGCGGTGGAGGAGGAGGAGGTGGCAACGAGACGGAGGGGTCAGGGGGTTGCGTTTCATTTCGTTCGCGAATTATTGATGAAAACTTTCGTCAGAGGTTTTTTTTTCTAGATTTGAAGCTTTCGTGACTGCAAGGATTCATATTCTTAGGTTTTTTCGGTAAAGTCACGTAGGTAAAAAAATGTAATAAAATAAAAATAAAATAAAAAACCACGACGTTTCGGAGGCAACACAAGCTTCCGTCTTCAGGTGGAACAGTCACAGCACGATAACGTCGTGATTTTTTATTTTATTTTTATTTTACTTAAATTAATTTTAATTTTTTACCTACGTGACTTTACCGAAAAAACCTAAGAACAGGTTTTTTTTTGTTTGATCCGAGCCAACGATGACCGAGCGGACGGGAGTCGTTCAGCGCAGCGACGGCTGCGACAACCCCCGCCGCAAGATCGCAGCGCGACCCACTGTCAAGGGGACAAAGTGACCTCGTCTGAAAATGATCAATTGAAATAACCGGTGACTAAATTCAGACTGGGCTGGGGTCACACGGAGGAAGTAGGTCATGTCCCAGACCCAATGTTCATGTTCTAGGCCAGTGATATTCTCTACTTTACAGAGGGGGCGGCTACTTTCACTGATAACACATCATCAGTGTGATGGTCCCCACGTATTTGAAACCATTGGGGATTTGACGGCACGATGAAAACGTTTTCACACCTGCGTGCTGTCAGGGGTGCACGTCAGGGGCCACACGAAAGGTCACACGGTGAGCAGCACGGTGGCGACGGCACGGAGAGGGTCGGGGTTAGTCGGAGGTCACATCTTTTTTAACATCACATGGGAAGGGCCCACTGAGCTATGTAGCTCTTACGCCATTGTAACCTCATTTGCCAGAAGAAAAAATATGATAATTGTTTTTTGTACCCTTTTTTCTGGCTAAATAAAAAGGGTAAAAAAACAATTATCATATGTAGCTCTTTTTCAGAAGTGAACTGGCTGTCACAAATTATAGCTCAGTGAAGTGGCTTATCACGGGGAAATCTACCGCAAGCCAAGTAACTCTTAAATGAGTGACGTTGATTTGAAATGTGGAGGGGAAAAAATGGAGGACCCGGAGAAAAATCCACGCGACCACGGAGAGAGAGAGAGAGAGAGAAGCAAACTCCAAATATACAGCAGCAGGTGTCAGGGTCGGGATCGAACCCACGACCTCCTGCACACCAGGCGAGGTAGTCAACATCTCCTAGCCACCGTGATGATGATGATGAGAGAGAGACACGCAAACTCCAAATATACAGCAGCAGGCGTCAGGGGTCGGGATCGAACCCACCACCTCCTGTACACCAGGCGAGGTAGTTAACATCTCCTAGCCACCGTGGTGATGATGAGAAAGACACGCACACGAAAAAGTAATTTGAATAAAGTAACTTTTTTCAACTTTTCTTGCTGTGGATTTCACACCTGATGATGATTGCTTGTGTTGCGGTCGAAACGTCGTGAGAATTTTTATTGTTTTATATTAATATTATTTTATTATTTCCCTTCTACGTGACTTTACCGAAAGAACCAAGAATATGAAAAAAATATAATCGGTGTAATTTCGATTTAAAGCTTTCGTGACTACAGGGATTCATATTCTTGGTTCTTTCGGTAAAGTCACGTAGAAGAGAAATAATAAAATTAAAATAAAACATTATGTAAAATTTTTATTTATTTTATTATGTTTTATTTTTATTTTATTAATTAAAAAATTTCATTTCTTTTATTATTTTTATTTTATTATTTCCATTCTACCTGACTTTACCGAAAGAACCAAGAATATAATCGGTGACGTTCCGGGCAAATTATCCTTCACTACACACCAAGAGGCCAGAGAGACCGGGAGTGGATTCGAGTTACGCTACGGGGCCTGGCACACCACCACAGCCCTCGCATGTCGCCATGGTGGGTAGTAGGGTATAGGGTGACTGACCGGGAGGCATTGCAACGAAGATGACCGACACTAACAGAACATGCTCGTCTGTGATATAAATAGATGGAGGAGTCGCATGCTGTCCATGACCCGTGGACCCAAGTGCATCCATAAAGGCTGCGAGAGGGAGGAGATTGGAATGTTTTGTGGGGATGTGCGTGTGGTGCCGGTGGGGGTCTGTGTCACGCTACGAACCCGGCTCACGGCCACCAACGCCATTGACGATTATCTGAACCGGTCCTGGGCCCCTCCCCTAGGTCTACTCGGCCTCACTCAAATGAGTACCTGGTGCGGTGTGTAGTAAACATCGCCACTAGGGAGACAAAGGCGGCCGGGCGTGGTGCTGGCCACCCACCCCCTCGTGTGCCGTGCCGGCCTTCATAGGTGCAACCCGCTAACAGCGCTTGCCCCAACAGCCTGTTAAGGATTCATATTCTTAGGTTTTCTCGGTAAAGTCACGTAGGTAAAAAATTTAAAGTAAAATAAAAATAAAATAAAAATCACGACGTTTCGGAAGCAACACAAGCTTCCGTCTTCAGGTGGAACAGTCACAGCACGATATCTGTAATTTATCTCACTTGTTACAGCTGTCGTGCTGTGACGGTTCCACCTGAAGACGGAAGCTTGTGTTGCTTCCGAAACGTCGTGATTTTTATTTTATTTCTATTTTACTTTCATTAATTAAAAATTTTTACCTACGTGACTTCACCGAAAAAACCTAAGAATATGAATCCTTGCAGTCACGAAAGCTTCAAATCTAGCCTGTTAAGGCTATACGGTGGAACTTTGTCCTTGTGGTGTCGGGAGGGCAGTAAGTTCTCTCTCTCTCATGCCCAACGTTGTTTTTTAAACTCCGCAAAGATCCACAGGTCGGCTTCACTCACGCTGTACAGATTTCTCCCCGACTCACAACCCCCGCTCTTACGACCTTTCTTAGTAATACCCCCTACCCCCCACACTAACGAACAAAACTCGTATCTACAACCGCCAGATGGCGCTGCTTTGCCCTTCTGCCGTGCGTCGTCCGTTCACTGATATCCCGACAGTCTCTTTCTCAACGCTGTTCACTAATACTGGTAGGAACCACCTGGTTCCACCAGCCCACAGGGGATTATTGTGTCCGTCCGTCCGTCCGTCGTGCATCCAAAAATGGGTGGGTCGGGCTGGGTGGAGAGGGGTGGGGGGGGAGGGGCTGGGTGGGGCTGGGTGGGGAGGGGCTGGGTGGGGGGTGGGAGGGGTGGGGCTGGGTAGGGAGGGGCTGGTCACCCCGTGGTGCCCTTATAAAACTCAACGCTTAACCTACTCACGCCAGCTTGTGCCCGCCCTCAGTCGGCCATATTTGTGGAATCCACCACGCCGCCGTTGACCCTGGCCATTGACCGAGCAACCCAACGTTCCTACCAGCTCCCTCCGCAGGAATGTGTTTTGTAAATTTTCATAAAATTTTTTAACATTTTCGCCTTTCGCTATGTCCGAGAAGATGAAACGTTATGCACGTGCGGAAACGTACTTACGGATTTTCAAATGCGTTTTTACTTAATAAATGTTGCTGAAGGTTATGTTATGAGAACAGGGTTTCCCCTTTCTTCTGGCAACAGAACAGTTGTGTTAACATATTAAAACACCAAACTGAAACCTTCATGTTTGCATTAACCACAATGCTTGTGGTCAGAACGCAAACAAAACACACACTCTGATAATAGATGCATTGTCCTTGAAACTGATTGGTCCACACCAGAGACAGCTTTCTTTTGAGCCTTGTCTCAAACGGTGCGAGACCAGAGGACGCCAAAAGGCGCACAACTCAAAGACAAGGGGAAAAACACCTATTCTTATATTTTGGTGCTGGCAAAGGAGGTCTCATGATGTAGATTTTTTATACTTTTGGGAAACAGTATACGGCTACAGATGGGATAAGTCTTTGTTCTGTATTGGTAGAAGCTATACGGCACAAAGACAAAGACCCCCCGTATAGGCTTGACAGACTGTAGGGGCAAGTGCTGTTAGTGAGCACCTATGAAGGCCGGCACGGCACACGAGGGGGTGGGTGGCCAGCACCACGCCTGAAGCAGCAAGTGCTGTTAGCGAGCACCTATGAAGGCCGGCACGGCACACGAGGGGGTGGGTGGCCAGCACCACGCCTGTAGCAGCAAGTGCTGTTAGCGAGCACCTATGAAGGCCGGCACGGCACACGAGGGGGTGGGTGGCCAGCACCACGCCCGGCCGCCTTGTGTCTCCCCAGTGGCGATGTTCACACACCGTACCAACTACACTCACTTTTAGGCTGAGTCGACCTAGGGGGGAGGAAAACCCCGGGACCGGTTCAGACAATCGTCACCGGCGTTGGGTGGCCGGGTTCTTAGCGCAACGCGTTAGCACACACACACACACGCGCACGCACACACACACACACGCGCACGCACACACGCACACACGCACGCGCACGCACACACGCACGCACGCGCACGCACTCACACACACGCACGCACGCGCACGCACACACACACACGCACACACGCGCACGCACACACACACACGCACGCGCACACACGCACGCGCACGCACGCACACACACACACGCACACACGCGCACGCACACACACACACGCACGCACACACGCACGCGCACACGCGCACGCGCACACGCGCACGCACACACACGCACACACACGCACGCGTTAGTACCGTTAGGAACGCACGACACACGATACAAGCGATGTATTGGTGAACGACCCACACACACACGGGGGGGGGGGGGGGGAGCATCAGGCGGCAACACTCCCTTTGTGATCAGTCGCGGGCGGCGCCTCCGGTAATCACCCGAGATTAGCGAGGCGCAGCGCGTGGGGTTGGTGAGTGGTTGAGTGGGTGGGTGAGTGGGTGGGTGGGTGAGTGGGTGGGTGAGTGAGTGGGTGGGTGAGTGAGTGGGTGGGTGAGTGGGTGGGTGAGTGGGTGGGTGAGTGGGTGAGTGAGTGGGTGGGTGAGTGGGTGAGTGGGTGGGTGAGTGGGTGGGTGCGTGGGTTGG